GGACTACATGTGGTACTAACCATCTTGTTACCAGTGTCCTGAGGCAGCGCATGGTGAGAGACAGAGATCATGAGAGACCTGGCCAAAATGACTGTTATTTTTTATTTATTTTTTTGGGGGGGGTCCAGTCGTGGGGCCTGAACTCTGGGCCTGGGCGCTGTCCCTCAGCTCTTCAGCTCAAGGCTAGCGCTCTTCCGCTTGAGCCACAGCGCCACTAACGGCTTTTTTCTTTTTTGCTTATGTGGTGCTGAGGAATCGAACCCAGGGCCTCAGGCATGCAAGGCAAGCATTCTACCACTGAGCCACCTTCCCAGCCCCTCAAAATGGCTTTTATAACAGGCCCACTCTGAGGATAACACGTAGATCCATTACTCTTGTGCATACAGTAATACACTCATGAAAAGAGAAATCTGGTCATCTCATAAGGCCACCAGGGCCCTGATATCCTCAGAAATACTTAAGACACTGCTACTTCTCAGAATGTACTTTGTTGACTGCATCTAAGAATGCCTTCAACAATGTACAGAGTTCTATAAATTGGACAAAATGAAGGAAAAGGAAAGAGAGGAAGGAAGGAAGGAAAGAGGGAGGGAGGAAGGGAGGGAGGGAGGGAAGAGAAAAAGGAAAAAGAGAGGAAAGGTGGAAAAGAAGGAAGCCAGATCCAGGTGCCAGAGGCTCACCCTTGTAATCATAGCTACTCAGGAGGCTGAGATCTAAGGATAGCAGTTCGAAGCCAGCCCAGGCAGAAAAGTCCCCATGAGATTGTTATCTCCAATTAACCACTCAAAACCTGGAAGTGGAGCTGTGGCTCAAGCCTTAAGAGTACTAGCCTTGAGCACAAAGAGGTTCACGGACAGCACCCAGGCCCTGAGTTCAAGCCACACAACTACCAAAAAACAAAAAAAAGAAGGAAGCCTGGTATGGGTGGCTCACACCTGTAATCCTAGCTACTTGGGAGGCTGCAATCTGAGGATCATGGTTCAAAGGCAGGCCAGGCAGGAAAATCCAGGAAACTCTTATCTCCAATTAACTACTAAGCCAGAAGTAGAGTTGTGGCTCAAGTGGTAGAGCACTAGACTTGAGCAGAAAAGCTCAAGGACAATGCCAGTCCCTGAGTTCAACCCCAAGTATCAACACATAAAAAAAAGGAAAAGAACAGAGAGAGAGAGAGAGAGAGAGACTAAGCTTCAGTTTCTTTATCTATAAAATGAATCTAGAACTATATCATAGTCCTTTTACAGGGATCAAATATCAAGCCTTATAAAGGATTTAACATAAGGCTTTATGTCTACTAAATACTGTTATCATCCAGGCAAAATAAAGACAAACACCAGACCAGCAAGGGAGAAGTAGTTTCATTTCTTCACAGAGCAGGAGGTGGGCATTTCAGAGCTGATGTGAGCAGACGGCTCAAGGTTTTGAGGGACGCATGCTTTTCTCAACTCACCACTCTGATATCATTAGGGTGCTAGCTCTGATCTTCACAACCTGGACAGAACCATCCACACACCAGGAACAAGACAGGGAGGTGGACAGGAGGGACCGACAGCACCCACTAGCCATCCTGTAGGGAGCACTCCCATTACCCTAGTCGCCAGGGAAGGCCACATATTGACTCAATTCTTTGTCAGGGGATGCTGCCAATGGAAGGGGTGTTGATGTTGGTCATTCCCAGCATTCTGGAAGCTACGGCACTATTTAGAAAGTGAATGAGAAGAAGAACATACTGTGCGCCATGTCCTTGTCCCCCCCAGACACATGAACACCTAGCAAGGATGATCTGTCCCAGAAAGGGGGCTCAGTCCAGGACCACCAACCACCCTGTGGCACAAGCTAGATAGAGAGATGACTCAGAGTGAGCTGAGCACTGTGTTGAAGCCCTACCGCCACTTCCCGGACTTCCTCATAAGGACCGCAGCCTGTTGGTATCTGCTTGATAACTCGGTCATCTCAAGTACTAAATTGATGGAAAGAAAAAGTAGGCTATGAAATAATCAGCAGCCCCTATTATAGCTCCATGACTCCTATTTGAAAAGAAACATTAAAAAAAAAAAAAACAAAAAGCAAAGCAGGTATGCCAATGGTCATTTTCCAGGCACTTTTCCTTCACAGTCCTGTTATTTCTCTTGTAAATCCAGAGGCCAAGTGCTGCACTCCACCTCTATCAGGACAAATAATCTCTCTCTCTCTCTGTCTCTCTCTCTGTCTCTGTCTCTCTGTCTCTCTGTCTCTCTCTCTGTCTCTCTCTCTGTCTCTCTCTCTCTCTCTCAGCTTGAACTCTGGGCCTAAGCACTGTCCCTGAGCTCTTCAGCTCAAGGCTAGCACTCTACCACTTTGAGTCACAGCGCCACTTCTGGTTTTCTGGTGATTAATTGCAGATAAGAATCTCATGGACTTTCCTGCTCGAGCTGGCTTTAAACCACAATCCTCAGATCTCAGCCTCCTGGGCAGCTAGGATTACAGGCGTGAGCCACTGGCGCCTGGCAACATTCTCATTTATATAGTGAAAAATACATTCCGAGGAGTTGCTGTCTTCTTTTAAAGGAACAACACTTGGGTTCTCCAAAACATACAGACATACTTTTTTCTACGTTCATGAACTTTAAAAGGGCAGGAGCAAGTCTCAGGTGCGGCCACCAGGTGGCAGTATCAATCAACAACAAAAGGCTGAAGCATCTAATGACGCCAAAAAATGTCAGGATTCTGGGGTGGCTATGAGAACACACTCCTAAGAAAGGATGTTGCAGTAACCCAGGAGCTGAGGCTTGGGAAGATGCAACCTGCTATCACATGTGGAACTAGCGACCCAAGAACTAGCCCTTCAATGACTTGTGCCCTGTTCTTCCAGCCATTATTGTTCGTCTGTTATTTTATTTTATTTGTTGGGGGCGGGGGGCGGGGGGAGGGCGTCAGTACTGGGGCTTGAACTCAAAGTTGGGTGCTGTCCTTAGATGTTCTTGCTCAATTCTGGCACTCTACCACTTGAGCCACAGCTCTACTAGTTTCTGATGGTTAATTGGAGATAGAGGCTAACTGAGTTTCTTGGCCAGGCTGGCCTCAAACTGTGATTCTCAGATCTCAGCCTCCAGCATAGCTAGAATTTCAGGCATGAGCCACCAGCATCCAACAGTCTGTTTTTATTTTTAATTTGATATTAAGGAGAATTTAAGCATTCATCAAAGTAGGAAAATAGTAAAAAATTAGTCCCTAAATACCCATCGGTCTATTTCAAAAATTAGCAACATTTTGTTATCTCCCATAATATATATGTATATATATTGTTTTCTTCCATACCATATTTTATGCCAAATACCCAAAGATACTGCCTTGCTATATTAGTGCAACATTGAAACCACCACAATTCATCAATTCAATTTGTAATTCAAAAAGTGTCTTTATTGTTCAATTGTGGTTAAAAAAAAAGTAGTGACAATTATATTGATCAAACCATGTTGTAAATATCACAATTAAGCCTCTTCATAGAATTTATTTATGTTATTAAAAAGTTTGTTTTTTAAGCCAGGCACTGGTGGCTCATGCCTGTAATCCTAATCAAGAGGCTGAAATCTGAAGATCTTGATTCAAAGGCAGTCTGGGCAGAAAAGTCCATGAGACTCCATCTCCAATTAACCAGCAAGAGGGCAGAATGGAGGCATGGCTTAAGTGGTAGCACACCACCAATGAACCAAGAAGCCAAGTGAGAGCTTGAAGGTCCATTGCCAATACACACACACACACACACACACACACACACACACACTTTTTCTAGGTTATCTCACCACCTGATGAATAAAAAGTAGTGAGTGAGCCACATGCTTACAAGTATTGGGAAATAAAGATTTTTTTAAAAAAGGTGACAATGCTTTTGTGCATAAATCATGTATACACTGTAAGAGTTTATTCATGTCATTATAGTTTTGTATTTCTATATATTTCATATGTTTCAACTATTGCATGTATAGACTATGTCATACCAGCTGGAACTGTGATATTTTCTAGATACTTGGGCCCATCTAAATACTTAAAATTTAAAAGCCATATATATAGCACTTTTTCCAAGACATGCTCACAGCTTTTAGGCCAGTACAGGGCAATTCCCAGTTATCAATTTTGTAACTCTAGAAAAAGGTAAGTTAGGTTAAGATGTGTGAAAATCTAGACCACCCAACACACACACTCTTCCCCCACTCCAAAAAAGATGAAAGGATTATGAGCCAGGTATTGCAGCTGAGGGGTCAGGATAGCCCTCCAAGGAGCAAATCTTACTGAATTCCTTAATGTAAAACCAAGGCAGTTATGCAAACAATGCATTTTCATGTGTCCATTACCACCAGAGATTGCTTTGTATTCAACAAAACACAAGACCACATCATAAATCCAACATAAGTTGCAAAGCTACATGATATGAGCTAGGCACTGGTGGCTCACACCTATAATCCTAGCTACTCAGGAGACTGAAATCTGGGGATGGAAAGCCCAAGCTAGTCTGGGTAGACAAACTGATGAGACACTTGTCTCCAATTAGCTAGCAAAAAGTTGGAAGTGGAGGTGTGGCTCAAGTCATACAGCACTAGCCTTGAGTGAAAAAGCTAAGGGACAGTACCCAGGCACTGAGTTCCAGCCCTAGTATCAGCACAAAACCAGAAACAAAACAAAGAACCCTACATGATGGGATAGAGTAAATGAAGGCTGCTCACTAGTCCCCGCTTATAAGAATGTTAAGTAGGCTTTGAACAAGGGCCTGGACTTCCTTCCTCAAGATGGAACACATTCATCTCTTCTATAAAAACAAGCAAAATAATTAAAGCATAAAAGCAAAGCTCGTCTGGGCTTTTTAGAAGCCCAAAATGAATCTAGAGTTTGGGTAATAAAATGCTCCATCTAAACATCTATCTGTGACTTGTCTCACCGGCTCAGGCTCCTCTAGGTATCGCTTACTGAAGAACATTTGTGTTTGGGCTTTGACATTTGTGTGTACTCTACCCCTTTTCCCCCCTTAGGATGAAAGCATTCTTGAAAACCAGAATGCATCAGGAAACAACTCGATAAGGAGTAGAGCTGTGCAAAGCAGGGAACAAGGAAACACCGAACAGGTAAGGTTGGGGGGGGGGGATGGTGAAGAGGTGGATGGTTACCATAGCAATGCTGTGGCAACTGCACCTGGCTGTGGAAGCGAAGTGTGATGTTCCAACAGCAGCAGGCAGAGGACTGAGTTAAATGGAGGTTTGAGTGCGTAAAGCAGAGTCAGGAAGAAATCATTTTGCCCAACTAAAGAGACTGTTTTTATACACTTGTCCTCAGAGTTCCCAGATGGGAAAGTCCATCCCAAGGGAAAATGCATTGGCTTAGAGGGGGCATGCACCAATAGATCCCGTTACACAGAAGCACGTGAATTCAGGAGATCCTAGCAGGCTAGATAACATATTGAGTCCCCTATCTCAAGAGAAGGGAGGGATGGAAGGAAAGAGAGAGGGGAAGGAGGAGAGGAAGGCGGGAGGAGAGAAGGGAGGAATGGAGGAATTGAGGGAAGAGAGGAGGGAGAGATGGGTGGCTACACAGAAAGCATCTATTTTCAGGTGTATGCTTCAAAAAGGAAGTAGGCTTTATCATGGTCCTAAAACTACAGCCATCATACCCTAGAGTCCTCTGGGCACCTTAGGCACTAGTCTGAGGAGCTCTGCTTTATTTCATTTATATATTGGATTCTGTCTGGACAGTATTTCATTTACGACATTCTTTCTACTGCAACTTTTTAAAAGAGTAATTATTCTTTTTTTTTTGGTCCGGTTGTGGGGCCTGAACTCTGGGCCTGGGCGCTGTCCCTCAGCTCTTCAGCTCAAGGCTAGCGCTCTACCACTTGAGCCACAGCGCCACTTCTGGCTTTTTTTTCTGCTTATGTGGTGCTGAGGAATCGAACCCAGGGCCTCATGCATGCAAGGCAAGCGCTCTACCACTGAGCCACCTTCCCAGCCCCAAAGAGTAATTATTCTTGTGGATCATCTGTGTGTGTGCTTGTCTGTGTGTGTGTGTGCGTGTGTGTGCGCTAGTACTGAGGCTTGAACCCTGGATGTAATCCCAATAGCTTTTTACTCAAGACTGGCGTTGTATGTACCACTTGAGCCACAGCTCTACTTGTGGCTTTTTTTTTTCTAGTTAGCTGGAGATGAGAGTCTCACAGACTTTTCCTCCTGGGCTGGCTTTGAGCTTTAAACCATGATCCTCAGATCTCAGCCTCCTGAGTAACTAGGATTACAGGTGTGTGCTACTGGCATCTAGCTTGTAGATCTTTTGTTTTGTTTTGTTTTTGCAGTGGTCTTTTTTTTTCATTTGTTTGCTTTTGGGCTGATTCTGGGGCTTGAACTCAGAGCCTGGGCGCTGTCCCTGAGCTTCTTGTACTCAAGGCTAATGATTGACCACTTGAGCCAGAGCTCCACTTGGTAGTTTACTAGAGATAAGAGTCTCATGGACTTTCCTGCTCGAGGGACTTCAAATCATAATCTTTGGTTCTCAGCTTCCTTAATAGCTCAGATTACAGGTGTGAGCCACTGGCCCCTGCTTGTGGATCATCTTTGAAGGGCTTTGCATGGTAGTTATCACTTCTAATGACAGCTACATAGGAGATATAGGTAGGAAGATTGTGGTCAGGTCCAAAGTCCATGAGGGCACAAAGCATAAGACACTATCTGAAAAATAAACAACCAAAAAGGCATGAGGCATGGCTCAAGGGGTAAGTGCTTGCTTTGCCTAGAAAGCACAAGGTTCTAGTTCAAAACCCCATACTGCCAAAAAGAAAATAGATGGTCCTTTAGAAAAACTAATTTTGATTTTTTTTTACCTTTTTATTGTTCTTGCCTATTTTCTTGTGATAAGACAATAACTCTTTAAAAGTAGAACCTTTTATGCCTGGGGCTGGTGGCACATGCCTGTAATCCTAGCTATCAGGAGGCTAGATCTGAGGACCACGGTCCAAAGCCAGCCTAAGCAGGATAGTCTGTGAGACTCTGATCTGCATAAACTACTCAGAAAAAGCCAGGCATAGCTCTGTAGCTAGTCTTGAGCCAAAGAAGCTCAAGAACAGCACCCAGGCCCTGAGTTCAAGCTCCAGGATCAGCACAATAAAAAAAAAAAAAGGATGGCTGAAAGCATCACTCAAAGTACTGTGCCTGCCCAACACGCATGAGGCCCCATTTTCAAATCCTAGCACTGTCTATAGAAAAGAATCAATAGAACCTATTTCTGTCCACATTAAAAAATGGCATGCAGATGTTTATTGCAGTTTTATCTGTTTCATAATTGCCAAATCTTAGAAACAACCCAAGTGTTCTTCAGTAGGTCAATGCATAAATAAATGATGATCTGGACAGACAATGCAATATTTTAAAATAAATTTCCAAAACAGCAAACAATCAGGCCATGAGAATGACAAGAGGAATCTTCCATCCATACTCTTGAACAAAAGAAGCTAACCTGAAGTAGTACTATGCCCTTCCCCATGTATAACATTCTAGAAAAGTCAGATCTAAGGCAGTGAAACCATCAGTGGTATCAGCTAGGTGCTTGTAGCTCATAACTGTAATGCTAGTTACTCAGAGGCTGAGAACTGAGATTAGCAGTTCAAAACTAGCCTGCATAGGAAAGTCCATGAGACTCTTATCTCCAACCAACTACCAAAAAGCTAGAAGCAAAGCTGTGGCTCAAGTGGTAGAGTACTAGCCTTGGCCAGAAAAGCTGAGGGACTGTACTCAGGCCCTGAGTTCAAGCTTTACAACCACTAGACACATGCAAAAGGATGAATATTTAATTAATTTTATTACTAAATTTTATTTAATTACTAAATACTAACATTTAATTATAAAATACTATACTATTTAGTATTACCAAGTCTTTGCTAAACTTTCAGTATTGGTATTAACTTCATGTAGTACTGGTCTAAATACAAAGTTGGTGTTGAATAATTATAGTAGAGACAGGAGCAAAAAGCAGAAATAGGAGCCTGTTCTCTTTAACAAAAATAAAAGGAGGAAATGCCAATAGTTCCTCTGGGAGACAAGGGAAAAATAAGTGTGATCTTTAATTTCTTGTGATGAGAAGGGAAAATGTGTGATAGATAATAGGAAGCCATCTTCTTGCATAATAACATAAAATGTCCTATTGAAATTTCTGGGCAAGTATTCTGAACAAAGGAGAGGAGGTCTATAATACCCAGAATTCTCATTATTCTCTGCTCCAATGTCTGGTCTCCAGGGGGAAGAAGCGCAGGTTACCATAGAACAGGATGCCCTAAGAAATAAAGAAGACACAGAGGAGGACCAAGATGTAATTCCAAAAGGGTACAACTTTTCTACTAGCGAAATAACCATATTTGCCTCCAATCTATTCCCCAGGCTTCATTCTTTGTTCTACCAGCTATTTTTAACATTTCTTATGGTTCATTAGATATTGTCACCTCCCAATGCCACTTGCAGAAATATTAATGGAGTTCTAGAATGATCAATGTGGTTAATTCAAACTGTTTGATGTCTGAGGAAACCAGTGTCTAGATTTAAATTTCCCCAGGACAGTCTCCTCATTAAAGGTGTAAATTACTAACTAATTGCTCCTGTCTATATAAGAGTAGTTCATTCATCTTCTCAATGTCAATCAATAGCGATTGATTTCTTCAAACCCAATCCACTTTAAATTTCATAGAACTGTTGCTATTCTTACCTTGTTGCTTCTTGAAGTTATCTAAGACGTTACAACCTCATAAGGTAGGAGAGGAAAGGCAAGATTTTTATTCACTTTATTTTGGGACCAGGAAGAGGAAGCTAGAAGTGACCTAATCAAGATCAGACAGCTAGAGAGAAACTGAGCCAGTTTGGAATTCCAGCCTTTTATTCTTACTTGTAGTTTTATCATAACACTAAAGATTTGTCCATTTAATAAATTCTCTTTTGTGTTTGTTTTTTGCTAGTCCTAGTGCTTGATCTCAGGGCCTGGGCACTATCCCTGAGCTTCTTTTGCTCAAGGATAGCACTCTAGGGCTGGGAAGGTGGCTCAGTCATAGAGCGCTTGCCTTGCATGCTCGAGGCCCTGGGTTCAATTCCTCAGCACCACATAAGCAAAAAGAAAAAAGCCGGAAGCAGTGCTGTGGCTCAAGTGGTAGGGCGCTAGCCTTGAGCTGAAGAGCTGAGGGACAGCGCCCAGGCCCAGAGTTCAGGCCCCACGACCGGACCCCCCCCCCAAAAAAAAGGATAGTGCTCTACCACTTGAGCCATAGTGCCACTTCCAGCGTTCTCTGTTTATGTGGTACTGAATTGAACCCAAGGTTTCATATATACTAGGCAAGCACTACTATACCACTAAGCCACATTCCCAGCCCAATTTAATACTTAAATTTGATTTAATTCCCACCTCTCACAGGAACTTTATTTGTGTATAACAGAAGATACCTCTTTTGCTGGACATAGGTAGCTAACATCTTTAATCTTAGCTACTCAGGATCAAGGTTCAAAACCAGTCCAGGAAGAAAAGACTGAAACTCCTTAAGCAGTAAAATGCCCAAAGTGGAGGTGTGGCTCAAGTGGTAGAGTGCCAGCTTTGAGTGGAAAAAGCTAAGGGACCACACCCAGGCCCTGAGTTCAAGCTCACTTCATTTTACACTGACCCAGAGAGGGCTGAGACAATACACACACACACAAACACACACACACACACACACACACACACACTTTTTTTTAGTGCTGGTCCTAGCTACAGTCCCTGAACTTTTTGCTCAAAGCTAACATTCTACTATTTGAGCCAAACCTCTACTTCCAGGTCTTCTGTTGTTTAATTGGAGCTGGAAACAACCTCTTGATGTCCTCAGGTTTCATGAATGTTAATGGCACTGAAATGGACCCAGTGGGTTGGGAATTGTCCACCCTAGATCACCAATGGCCACAGTGCCTAATTCCCAGCTAATTCCCTTTATAAAGTCAGATAGCTGTAATGTACTACACACAGTTAAGAGATCGGATAAAGCCACCCCACCCTGGATGGATATTCCTATTACATGACATAGCTACAACTTTCTTTTTTTCCTTTCTTTCTTTTTTTTTTGGGGGGGGGGTGTCCAGTTGTGGGGCCTGAACTCTGGGCCTGGGCGCTGTCCCTCAGCTCTTCAGCTCAAGGCTAGCGCTCTACCACTTGAGCCACAGCACTGCTTCCGGCTTTTTTCTTGTTGCTTATGTGGTGCTGAGGAATCGAACCCAAGGCCTCATGCATGCAAGGCAAGCGCTCTACCACTGAGCCACCTTCCCAGCCCTTTTTCCTTTATTTCTTTCCTTCTTTCTTTCTTTTTTCTTTCTTCCTTCCATCCTTTCTTTTTCCTATTTCTTCTTTCCTTCCTTCTTTCTTCTTTCTTTCTTTCTTCCTTCCTTCCTTCCTTTCTTTCTTTTTTCCTTTCTTTCTTTTTTCCTTTCTTTCTTTCTTTTCTCCTTTCTTTCTTTCCTTCTTTCTTCCTTTCTTTCTTCTTCTTTCTTTCTTTGTGTTGGTCGTGGCTCAGGCCTAAACTCAGGGCCAGACACTGTCCCTTAGCTTTTTCTACTCATGGATATGCTCTACAACTTGAGCCACAGCTCCACTTGCAGCTTTTTTGGTGGTTTATTGAAGATAAAGGTCTCATGGACTTTTCTGCCCTAAATAGCTTCAAACTAAGATCTCCAGATCTCAGCCTCCTTAAGTAGTCAGGATTATAAGATTGAACCACAGGCACCTGGCTTGTGCTACATTTTTTAAACCCTAGATCTGCAACTAAGGCTAATGAATTATTAGTTTTTCCTAAAGGAGACCAGGAAACTTGGTCTTCCTCTAAATTACAGTTCTGTGAGCAGCTTAGTGACAAGCTAAACATGTGGTACTAGATTCCATCCTTTGAAAGCACTTGAGAATTATGCATCCTTTAGTATAAACAGTTTCTGTTGCTCTTCCTTTTTTTCTTCCTCATAACTAATCTGTTTTTATTTGTATTGGCATATATTAATCACACAAAGAGCGTTCACTGTGATTTGTCTGTGATTACATATAGACTTTGAACAAATTCATATATGTATTCACCCAGTATTCTAGAGCAGCATTTTGATTATTGGCACATTACCACACACATACAGGACAATGCTAATGGTGTCTGTCACTGTGTGCATGAGAGACACCTTGATGCTTTTATCTAGAAGTTTCTGCTTGGCTGTCCATCTTTCTGCTCTGTTCGTAGGAGCACACTTCCAGCATCTCTCTAATCTCTTGCATTATTCATGGTTAACCAATCAACAGCTGCTATTGGTCAATGAGATGAGTTTTCCCATTTCTGTTTCGTAGCACATAGCTTTGTGAATGTGCTTGTCATGTGCTTCATTGTTTTATATGACCTAACCAAGCCTTTGCACGGCAGTTTATGTCATGTTTCCAATGTTTACTTCTGCCTTCTTTTTTGCTTTTATGTTTCAGGTATTTGGAAAAGAAGTATGCTACAGTTTGTGATTTTTGTAGGAAACATAAAACCATTCTTCGTTACATCATCTGGGGAACTTTATTAACTGGTAAATACCAATAGACAATGAAAATAACTATTATCTTTTAGGGGGGCCTTCCCAAGTATTAGGTTTTTAGGGGGGTGGAGAAGAAGCCTTCCATTTCTCCCTGGACTTCACTGAGTCTTCCAAAGAAATAAATGAAGAGATCCCTGCAGGGGAAATCTACACAAGGTGCTTCCCTGCCTCATTTAGGAAGCCAAAAGATTTTTTTTGAGGCACCAATTGCCTTGGTCCATTCTTGCTGCTGGAACAGATGAGATAATTTATAAAGAATAACTTCTGGCCAGACACAGGTGGCTCATACCTGTAATCCTTGCCACTCAGAAAGCTGAGATCTGAGGATCACAGTTCAAAGCCAGCTGGAGACAGACATGTCCATGTGCTTCTTATATCCAAATGCCCAGCAAAAAGCTGGAGGTAGAAGTGTGGCTCAAGTGGTAGAGCACCAGCCTTGAGTTGAAAAGCCAAACATGAGTCCAGTACCAGCATGAAACAATAATAGTAGTAATAGTAATAATTTCTGAGGCTGAGGGTCCAGTGTCAAGATGTCACCATTGAAAAGGGCCATATCATTACATCAAACATGAAGCAGAGATCACAACATGAGCTAGGCAGAGGCTAGATTGGAATCTCTTTTTTCTCTCTCTGTCTTTTTTTTTTTTTTTTTGGTGCCAGTCCTGGGGCTTGACCTCCGGGCCTGGGTACTGTCCCTGAGGCTCTTTTGCTCAAGGCCAGCACTCTACTGTTTGAGCCACAGCACCACTTCTAACATATGATTTGAATATTAAGTTCCCAGCACATGAACTTTTTGAGGGACACATTCAATCCATAGCACCTACCATATTTTTGCGATCGGGATATTTTAAGAGTGCCTTGGTTAATGCACACACAGAAAACTTGAGTAACTGAACAGACATGGTGATAATAGCAAAGGCAAAACCCTAATTATAAAGAGTAATATATGAGCATCAGTGTAGGCCATTTGACCAACTCCTCTTGACTAAAGGCAAGGCAAGAATGCCTTCGGTGTTTGTTCCCTCCAAAGCAAAGGGCTCCACAACCCACTATAATGAACATTCTGTCTATAGCCAGGAGTGGTTGTGCATGCCTATAATCCCAGATACTCAGAAGGTAAAGATAGAAGGATCTAGAGTTCAAGTCAAACCCTGGTAAAAAAAAAAAATAGCAAGATCCTGTCTCAAAAATAATAACAAAAAGGCCAGGGATGTAGTTTAGGTGCTAAGGTACTAGTCTAGCAAGGACAAGGCCCTAGATTCAGTCCCCAGTAGGGGAAACAAAAATTCTGTCTATGAAATGGAAACTCTCACCTAAGCCCACTGGCACCAGTCAAAGACATCTAGATCCTGTTCTAGATCTCCTTCTTAGACAGCTGTACCAGGCCAAAAAGTATTTTAGTCTCATCATTATATTGTGCATACTGCCAAAATTATGCAACTAGGGTGGCCTACTATTTAATTTAAAGACATGCTCCAGTAGCTCACACCTGTAATCCTAATTATTAAGGAGGATGAGATTTTAGGATCAAGGTTCAAAGCCAGCTTCAGCAGGAAATTCTGTAAGACTCTTATCTCCAATTAATCACCAAAGCCATCAGTAAAGCTGTAGCTCAAGTGGTAGAGTGCCAGTCTTGAGTGAAAAAGCTAAGGGAGAGTGCCCAGACCCCTGAGTTTAAGGCACATACACATATAAAAAGTAGCCACTGTATATAAGCCAACAGACAAGGCTAAGTTCCAATAGGACTTTATTGGTAGGGTACAAGTACAAGTTGGTGAGTACAGTCGTATATACCACCTATGCAAACAAGAGTCAGGCCAGACTTAAGTTGCAGACTCTGGGCCTGGTTGCTGTCCCTCAGCTCTTCAGCTCAAGGCTCTACCACTTGAGCCACAGCGCCACTTCTGGCTTTTTCTGCTTATGTGGTGCTGAGGAATTGAACCCAGGACCTCATGCATACAAAGCAAGCACTTTACCACTGAGCCACCTTCCCAGCCCAAGTTGCAGACCCTTGTGTGCTGATCTTTCAGAGTAGGAAACCTTAGTCACAGCTTAAAATCTACACTTCAATAGCAGCCATCATAGCCAGGCTGTCTTCCTCTGAGATTCTGCAGTGCATAGAGAATGTTGTAGGTCTATTTTACTATTTGAGCTTCGGCCAAATCTGAGCTGCCGGAAAACCCATACCTCTTGCCAGCAGTTGCCTCGATCCCTGGCCTTTCTCCTTACCATGGTTCACCTATAGAGTTGGAAAAAAGAGGAATTAAAACAAAATGTTAGCACTGAGCTTCTCAGTGATAAAGCTTTAGGATTCAAGAACTCAAAAGTTCTATTTTTTAAAAAAAATCCAGCAATCTTTCCCCCTTACATACGTGGTGAGAATGTAGAAATTTGATTGAAGCAGAGAAGGAGAGGGAAAATAAACAAAACCTTGCCCAGAGCAGCCAGTACCCATATGGAAGCATTCAATGGATTCTTGGTTACACCTCTCCTTGACTGAGCCAGATTGAGTCAGCTGGCTTCCATGATACCTATCACATATTTGCTTTGCCTCCTGGACAGGTTTCCTGGCTCTGGTGATCACAGCCTGCGTGCTGAACTTTCACAGAGCCCTTCCTCTTTTTGTGATCACTGTAGCTGTCATCTTCTTTGTTGTCTGGGATCACCTGATGGCCAGATATGAGCATCGAATTGATGAGCTCCTGTCTCCAGGCAGAAGACTGCTGGACAGCCACTGGTTCTGGCTGAAGTGGTAAAGGCATTTGATTCTCTTCTTGCAATTGATGAAAGTCTTTTCCAACACTGTTCTAAGGGTGTTGCCTTATTTATGAGATTTCAGAGCTAGGAACAAGGTTGGGAGCAATCCATTGTAATACTTTCATTTTACAAACAGAAAATCAAGACCTAGATGAGGTGATGACTCACTTGAAATATGTTCTAACTGCCTTAATTCAAATGCTACGGAAAGACAAAATGTTATCCAAAAACACCAATACACATCTATGTGCTATATCATTGAGATACCGTCATCCCTGTGTGTGGTGAAGCAGTTAAGATTATAAAATAGTGTCAGAGGCTGGGTGCTGATGGGTCATGCTGGAATCCTAGCTACTCAAGAGGCTGAGATCTGGGATTACAATTTGACGCCAGCTCAGGCAGGAAAGTCTGTGAGACTCTTATCATTAACTAATCTCCAAAAAGCCGAAAGGAGAGCTGTGACTCACGTGATGGAGTGCTAGTTTTGAGTGAAAAAGCTCAGGAGCAGCACCCAAACCCTGAGTTCAAGACCTTGGACCAAGCAACCCCCCTCCCAAAAAACAGTGTCAGTAGAATGTCATCATGATCAATCAATCGTGTCTTAGCTGTCACAGGACAGGGAATGGGCAGCACAAATGCCATCCAATCTCAGCGCTTAGTTAAAGGATTGGTTTGTAAGTACAGAACAATGGAGATTGCTGACATGCCTGCCAAGAGATTTCATTTTACAAAATAGGGATCATACAGTATATTAAATCTCAGGGTTTGTCTGTTGTTATTGGGGGGGGTTGTGTGTGTGTGTGTGTGTGTGTGTGTGTGTGTGTGTGTGTGTGTGTTGGGCTTGAACTCAGGGCCTAGGCACTCTCCCTGAGCTTTTATACTCAAGGCTAGCATTCTGCCACTTGAGGTATAGCTCTACTTCTTTTTTTTTTTCCAGTGGTTAATTGGAGGTAAGAGTTTCACAGAGTTTCCCACCTAGGCTAGCTTTGAACCACAATCCTCAAAATTCAGCCTCCTGTATAGCCAGGATTACAGGCATGAGCCAACAGCACCAGGCACATTCTACATAATGGATCATTATTTTTTTGTTGTTGTTGGTCGTGGGACTTGAACTCTGGGCCTGAGCACTGTCCCTGCACTCTTCAGCTCAAGGCAAGTGCTCTACCACTTGAGCCAGAGTGCCACTTCCTTGGATCATTATTTTATTTACTTTTTTTTTTTGCTGTTTTAAATGTTGTGACAAACTTGGTCATTGATTCTTGATAAATTTAGGTCAACTGGCATCTCATTGGTGGTTAGTGAACCCAGTCATTTTTCAGTTAGGCTGTCAGGTCTCCTTACTTCTTTCAATGCCTTTTACTTATTAAAGAGTAGAGATTTAGAAAAAGAAAGAAATGGTATTAGGTATTATCTTAATAGTGAGGACCACTAGTTCTTGACTTTTTATAGAGACAACATACTAAAATTGGCCCATAGATAGTGATCAAATATGACTTAATTTTTTTCCATCCATTTTTATATTTCATTCAGTAGGTGCTATTTATTCTGTACTTAGTAGAAAAATGCCAAAATCCTTGACCTTTCTTCTCATTCTTAGGTAATGGTCACTGTGTGTGTGTGTGTGTGTGTGTGTGTGTGTGTCCATGCGCACATGCATGCACCAGTCCTGGGGCTTGAACTCAGGGTTTGGGCACTGTTTCTGACCTTTTGTGCTCAAGTCTAATGTTCTACCACTTGAGCCACAGCTCTACTTCCAAGTTTTTAGTAGTTAATTGGAGATGAGTCTCACAGACTTTCCTTCCTGGGCTGGCTTCAAATTGCAAACCTCAGATCTCAGCTTCCTTGGTAGCTTGGGTTATAAGCATCAGCCAACACACCTGGCCACAGACATTTTTTTTTGCTGGTTGTGGGGCCTGAACTCTGGGGCTGGGCACTGTCCCTCAGCTCTTCACCTCAAGGCTAGCACTCTGCCACTTAAGCCACAGCGCCACTTCCAGCTTTTTCTGCTTATGTGGTGCTGAGGAATCAAACCCAGGGCCTCATGCATACAAGTCAAGCACTCTACCACTGAGCCACCTTCCTAGCCCCAGACATATTTTTTTAACTTTCTTTTTTTTATTGTAAAAATACCATACAGAGGGGTTACAATTACATGGGCAAGATAATGAGTACATTTCTTATCAAGCATTGTTGCCTCCTCCTTTGTTTCCCCTTCCCATCCCTTCCCATCTCCCCCCCCCCAGACATATTTTTAATAACAAGATGTCCCATTCCTTCAAGTATGAAAAGTATAAGCCTGACTACATGTCCCATCCTTCCTCCCAGCTTTGGATTCCCCTTCTCCTTATTCCCTCTTACCTCCTTTTCTTCTACGTCAAAGCCCATAGGGAGCTCAGGGCCAGGACAGTGCTGGTTCAGGGAAGTAACTGTGTGCTGTGGACATGAGGCTGGCCCCTTCCAGAGGAACTGTTTAAGCAGGCTGTCCCCTACAAGTCCTCAGTCCCACTGACTGCCAAAGGTGTGTCCCTTAGCCTGTCTCTTTGCAATATCTTCTCTCTTCAGGTGGCCATACCTGGTTAAGTCCCAGGACCTGTGGTCTCTGTGGAGTCTTACATTGCATCTACCTGAAGGCACATTCCCTGCTGCTCCTCCCCCAGCCCAAGGGCCTTTCTGATTCATGCTGATTCACAGCATGAATCAGCCTTGCCGACCTACCAGACTCCTCAGGCAAGGCAGACCTCAAATTCAAGTTTACCTCTGTTGGGACCCTCCAACTGCGGAGAGCATATTGCAGATTCTCCCATAAAGGGAAGAAGACAACACCTCACCCATCCCCAAACCAGATAAAGCATCCCAGTACACAGCCAAGTGCTGATGGCTCATACCTGTAGTCCTATCTACTCAGCTGAGATCTGAGGATTGCCATTCCAAGTAGAAAAGCCCATGAGACTCGTCTCTAATTAGCTGGAAGTAGAGGTATGGCTCAAGTGATAGAGTGTGAGCCTTCAGCAAAAAAGTCAAGTAACATCTCAAGCCCTGGAACACCAACACCAACAAAAAGAGTCAGAATAACACATTGGACACAGTAGTGCTCTCTTATAATCCCAGGATTCAGGAAGCTGAGGCAGGAGAATCCCAAGTTCAATTCAAGCATAGGCTATACAGCAAGATCCTGTCTCTAGAAGAAGAGAGGGAGGCAGGGAGAGAGGAAAGGAGGTCAGACAGTCAGGAGGAATTCTAGTAGGTCACTCAAAGAAATCACCAGGCCTCCCACTCCAAAACGCTTTCTCCTCTCTGACCCCTTTATAGAACTTGGTACTTATAAAGGGCCTGAGTTGTAGAATGTGAGGGGCACATATGGGTTTTTTAAAAATCTATTTGTCATTGTTTGTTTTTTCAATCAAAAGGCCAGGCAGAGGGAATCAGCCAGGGTGTGTTGATTTCACTAGCAGTTTTGTGTTTGCCAGTTTAAGCCTCATTAAAGGCTCAAGTTAGCACAATCAGTGATGCTATACCTCCCTTCTGTTCTCTTAGGGTGATCTGGAGCTTACTGATCCTAGGGGTTATCTTCTGGCTGATTCTGGACACTGCCAAATTGGGTAAACAGCAGCTGGTGTCCTTTGGTGGCCTCATCACGTACATTATCCTGCTATTTCTGTTTTCTAAGCACCCAACCAGAGTAAGTATGGAATTAACTGTTTTTGGAGGGTGTTTGTTGTTGTTGTTGTTATGTGTTTTCTGTTTGTTTTGTGTTTGTATCCTTCTCTACTCAGATGAAGGCAGTTCAAAATAGTGAAAAGATTTACCTCTTCCAGGTACTTCTTATGATGAGGTGGTGATTTAAAGGAACCAGGGTATCCGTCTTTTAGAATGCTACCTCCGGAAGTACTACCTATTTGCATCTCAAGTTCTCTTTCCAGTAAGCTCCAGTTCTACAAGCAGGGGACTTGTTTTGCCTGTCAAATCCAGCTTCTACTAATGCACCTCTGTCCCCCATCACAAGCAGGAGAAAACCTACTCACTCATCTTCTCAGACTATATAGCACCTTTAATTGTACGATACATCCTGCCCTTTATCAAAGTTCCATCTGTGATTTTTTTTCTTCCTCATGGATGTGTGATACAATAACCCATAGAATAGGTGAGAACTCAGAAAGCTAAAGGCTCTTACAAATGAATCACAATGCCAAGCACTGAAAGACTTTATCCTGGCTAAAAGGTGGATCCAAGGAGAAAGCATTCATCATAGAGTAACCAAGTTCATCTGATGTGATTCAAGTCATTTGTTTTGTACAGGTGAATATCTCCATCCTCTGTGCCTTCCAAGAATTCTTTGCAGGACATTCACATCTGCATTAAAAGAAGTTAGATGATTGTCCATTTATGGGATCCATTCTGGGTCTGCATTCAAGGTTATTGGCTCCTTTTATAAGGAAACAAGAGGCCTACACTCAGGCATAATTTCATTGAATTCCCACATCAGCTGTCAGATAAGAGCCTTAAACACAGCCTTGAACACATGTTCTGACTTTCCATTGTCCAAGTGAAAGGAATAATTGTATATATAATATTTACAATGTGACTAGGATAGCCAGTCCTTCCTCTAATGATGCTTCTTACATTATGCTTGGTGTTTGCATTATTCATCAAGACTTAGTAGTTCCCATACTTTCCCAAGAGTGAAAGCTCACACTCAGATTTAGTATTAAAGAATGATGTCCCGGGGATGGGAAGATGGCTCAGTGGTAGAGTGCTTGCCTTGCATGCATGAGGCCCTGGTTTTAATTCCTCAGCACCACATAAGCAGAAAAAGCCAGAAGTGGTGCTGTGGCTCAGGCCCAGAGTTCAAGCCCCATGAACAACAACAACAACAAAAAGAATGATATCCTGTGTTCTTTTAAGGTATGGTTCCCAGGAAAATTTTTCTGTTCATGGCTGCTTGGGCCCCTTAAAGAAGGTAGGCCACAGGCTATATTTCAGAATGTCTCAAGGAAACAGTGGCTCCTGGAATATTTATGCTAAGGCCAAGGTTAATTTTCTCATAAACAACTGTACCCAGAAAAGGGTCTGTTGCAATTTCTATAAGCATGGTTTATGGTGCCAGGTCATGTTGCTCTCATTAGTATTTTTCCTTTGTTAATTTGAACCTCATTCCAATGTTCATCTTAGCACAATAAGTGATCATCTCTATTTCTCTTTATAGGTTCACTGGAGGCCTGTCTTTTGGGGAATTGGATTACAGTTTCTTCTTGGGCTCTTAATTCTAAGAACTAAACCTGGATTTATTGCTTTTGATTGGTTGGGTAGACAAGTTCAGGTAAGTGAGTCAAAAAATAATTTGTTCTTAGCCTGGCACTAGTGACTCAAGCCTATAATCCTAGCTACTCAGGAAGCTTAGATCCAAGAATTGCAGTTCAAAGCCAACCAAGGCAGGAAAGTCCATGAGACTCTTATCTTCAATTAACCACCCAAAATGCTGTAAGTGGGGCTGTGGTTCAAGTGATAGAGAGCTAGCTTTGAACAGAAATGCTCAGGGATTGTAACCAGGCCCTGAGTTCAAGCCCCAGGACCAACACTAATAATAATAATAATTTGTTCTTATTGTGCTTCAAATCATGAAAGAAATTGGTTTTTTTAATATATAATATTTTTTAAATATATAATATTTGACCCTAATTTTAATTCCATAACAAAATTTAGACAAATTCCTATCTATGATAAACATGCTGATTTGTCTTGTTTATTACTGCTGCCCTGTATACTACACTATATCATTTCTCTTTACATTGCACCTTGAGGGGTTGCATTTCTAGATAGTTCCATACAGAGAAAGGGGCTTTCTTTGCATATGGTGATAACTAATGCCACCCATGTATCACTTGCTGCAGCAAACAATCACACTCAGTTCTTTAGCATCCTGAAGCAGATTGAATGCTGGCAATGACAGGAATTTGGTCTACAGGTATGATTCAAACCTACACTTCACCTCCATGCCATTCATTGGATGAGCAAAGTTAAGATGATGAACTTTTTCCCAGTCTATCCAGCAGGTTGCTGGTCTTCATCCTCTGCAAAGCCTAGTGTTTCTGTGACTTGTGACACCACTCCATTGGTTGAATAACCTCTTCCTTTCTTCCACTCAGACTTTTCTGGGGTACACTGATGCTGGCGCTATATTTGTCTTCGGCGAGAAATACACAGACCACTTCTTTGCATTTAAGGTAAGTCTAGACCCTTTTGGTATTCCGTCTCGGCATTATTATTATTATTATTATTGTAGTTGTGCAAAGAGTTTTCTACTCCTGTCTCTGCTTTTTGAGCAGCTCCTTGGTCTTTATAGATATTTAGATAGAACCTAACTGACCCCAAGCCAGGTGTATAATGCTGTCTGTGTTATAGAAAAGTAAGGTGTCATCACCCTTTTTCTCAATTACAATTGTCCGGAGTCTGTGTTACTTCTGCATAAGATTAAGGGAAATATCCAGAGAAGGTGAAAAACAGTCAAATATTTGGGCACAGTGGCATTGCCTAAGACACTTATTTAAAAGCCCTCTAGGGGAATAGTATTTGGAACTCTAAAGAAAAGTAATTATATATTTGGAAATGCATAGGCATGAGATTTGCAATCCAGGACCCCTAGAGCTCTGAACTCAAAACACCACTCAGTTCTAGGCTAACTGGGACATCCAGCCAACCACTGCAGCCTCTGCTTCCCAGGACCACCCTATGCTAAACTTTCCTCCTCATTTCTTCAGGACAGCCTTTGCTAAGCAGGCCTCCATAAGCCTAATCAAAGAAGGGACGTTATTTTACAGACAAGAAAAATCCTAGCTCCTGCTTGGACGTAGTCAGTTCCCTCTCAGAGATCCCATAAACCCAAAAGAAAACTCACTCTCCTCTGAGAAGCCCCTACAAATATGAGTCTGAGTCTGAAATATACATTTGGAGTTTTCTTCTGCTTGTGTGTGTATGTGTGTGTGTGTGTGTGTGTGTGTATACACGCATGCTGCGATGTGATGGTCCCTACATTTCTAAGTTGTTTCCTCTCTCAAGGACTCCAAATTTATCTCTAAATTACCTTCGCTTCAGTTAGGCCATTTATGCCAGACCTTATATATTTTTTTCTCATTTTAATGACACAGTAATTTTCCATGCTTCTGGAGTACAGTGTGACATTTTAGTGCGTGTCTCAACTTGCTATGATCATACCAGGATCTGAATCTTTACTAAAAGTGCTGATTTGATGCATCAATGCCAAGATAACTGAGCCACAGCAGAAAGGTCAAGTGTTTATAGACTGAAATAGAAACAGGCTTCCATCATGAAATGAATTCAGAATAGGAAGAAAAATAAAGTGGCAGAGGAGAAATTTGCTACCCAGAGTATAGCAGCATCCTCAGAGCTTGCCATCCCCAGCTCCTCCTGGGGCAGTGGTCTGACTTTTTCTTTATCCACCAAAGAACTACTGGATGATCACTTACAACTTCTTGCTTTTAGGAAAGTTCTACCTACTCATTAAAGCTAATAAAAGCTTCATGGTAAGTGAGTTCTAAATAGTGACACAAAATATCTTTAAATGTGTATTATTAATGGATTTTTTTCTAAATTCAATTCTGCTCAAGTTGTCCTTGGTCATTCTGTGCTTTTGGTGGCAGCTTGTCTCTGGTCATTTAGTTAGGGAATGGTGGGGAAGGGTGAGCAGGGACCCAACCCCAGATCTGAATGATCTCTACAGCGTGAAAATTGCTCCCTGCAGAACACACAGGCTTTACTGAAGGCTCCCAAACAACATCAGGAAAATAGGATTTGGGAAAGTACTATACATGTTAAGGCAGAATTAGCTACTCTCCAAAAGATAAACCTTTTTTAGTGATTCAAAACTCCATAACCCAACTGGGATTATAGACTCATGCCTATAATCCTAGCTACTTAAGAGGTTGAGATGTGAGGATCCAAGTTCAAAGCCAGGCTGGGCAGACAAATCTGAGGCTCTTATCTCCAGTTAACCACCAAAAAGCCACAAGTAGATCTATGGCTCGAGTGATAAAGCACCATCCTTGAGTGAAAAAGCGATTGTTAGTGTAGTTATTGTATATTCTCCCCCAAAACACAGTCTTTCTCTGAATAAGAGAAACTCATTATAGAAGAAGGAATTAAGTTTCTTAGGATATACACTTGTCTTAGTCTGTTCTCTTCTGTTACTATAACAAAATATCTGACACTGGATAATTTATAAAGAATATGGTTCTATTTAGCTCATTGTTCAGAAACTAAGAAATCTTCTATCATAGTGTTTGTACCACAGTGAGAGCCTCTTGCTGCATATTGACATGGAGGAGAACATCACAAAGTGAAGGAAGACTAAGTGTGCTAGCTCAAGTCTTGACGCCTCTTCTCATAAAGCTACTACTGGGGCTGGGTATAGCTCAAAGTGTTTGCCTAGCATAGAATAAATCCTTATTTATTCTATTTAATCTTTCTAAATAGAATAAAGCCGAGTATCAAGAGCTATAATCCTAGCTATTCAGGAGGCTGAAATCCAGAATATCACACTGCTGAGCTGTCCCAAGCAGAAAAGTCCCCTGTGAGATTCCATCTATAAAATAACCGGCAAGACTGAGCACCAGTGCCTCACACTTGTAATCCTAGTTACTCAGGACACTGATATCTGAGGATCAGAGTTCAAGCCAGCTCAGGCAAGAAGTCCATGAGACAACTCCAATTACCACCAAAATGTCAGAAATGGAGCCGTGGCTGAAGCAGCAGATCCCTAGTCTTAAGAAAAAGAGCTCAAGACCTGCTCCCAGGCCCTGAGTTCAAGCCTAGTACCAGTACAAAAATTAAATTAAATTAAATTAAAAACCAGCAAAAATAATAAGTCTGGGAATATGGTTCACATGGTAGAGGACTAGCTGAGCACACAAGCCAAGTAAGTTAGAGACTCTGAATTCAACCTCCAACATAGCACATTAATTAAATAAGGCCATTAATGACTTAATTAATGACTTCATCTAATCCTAAATACTGCCCCAAGACCCCTATCCCCAAACACAACCAACATGAATTTGGGGATTAAGTTTTTAAAGATGAACTTTTGGGGGGAGGGAGCACACTCAAACAATTGGAATCTTCAAGCCCAATTAGAATACGAGATTATGGAAAGGGAAAATGACCGACAAAAGTGATGTCTCCAGTATTGTCATGATGGATGTCTCTGGTGGAGAAAGAGAGGCAGAGAGAGGGCCTAAGAGGAATGTGATACCACTGGGCTCACCACTGACAAACGATCACTTCTACGCAGATCCTGCCCATTGTGGTTTTCTTCAGCACAGTGATGTCCATGCTGTATTACCTGGGATTCATGCAGTGGATCGTCAGAAAGGTACTGGGATTGGGAATGTAGTGAGTGAAACAGGTGGAGCCAATTATTGAAAAACCTAGTCTCAAATGCCTCTTATCCAGGCATCTCGAAACTGCCTTTTTCTTCCTACCAAGATTCACTACAATCCCTCAAGTTATTAGAGTCAAACTCAAAACTTTCCACCATGTGTCCATAAAGTGAACTTGGACTCAGGGACTTCTAACAGAGCTTTGATTTGCTGAATCCCACTAGATATCTCCATGAAACCATAGCATTTACAACATTAGCCAAGGAATTGAGGTCAGATGTCTGCACGGGGAAAGCAGTGTCAGTCCTCTTCATGGTTATCCACACTTGTCTTCAGGACATATTCCTGATCTTGGAATTACTAGAGAAATCAAAACAAGAAGAAGTTGGTTTTTACCCTGGTGGGAGTTTGGTAACCATACAACTATTTTAAAAGAGTTAGCCAGGCATTGTGACACACCTCTATAATCCCAGCTTCTCAGGAGGTGGAAGCAGGAAGATTGTGAGTTCAAAGCCAGCCTGGGCAAAGTTAATGAAATCCTATCTCAAAAACGAAGCAACAAGGGGCTGGGAAGGTGGCTCAGTGGTAGAGCGCTTGCCTTGCATGCATGAGGCCCTGGGTTCGATTCCTCAGCACCACATAAGCAAAAAGAAAAAAGCCGGAAGTGGCACTGTGGCTCAAGTGGTAGAGTGCTAGCCTTGAACTGAAGAGCTGAGGGACAGCGCTCAGGCCCAGAGCTCAGGCCCCATGACCGGACCCAAAAAAAAACAACGAAGCAACAATAAAAAAGAAGGGAGGATGTGTTTAGTGGTAGAGTGCTTATACCTAGCAATGTGAGTCCTTGACTTTAATCTCAAGTGCAGAGGAAAAAAAAGATCAAGAATGTATATGAGAGAGAGAGAGAGAGAGAAAGGTTAATCTTATAATCTCATCCTTGCTGTCTTGCTCCCAGCAACTGAGTCCTACACTCACATTAGATCAGAAAACTAGGAAGATTTTAAGCTAGTATAGATGCACATGAGAACAAAGCAGTGCATTCAGGCTTTGGGGAACAGCCACAGCCCTCCTTTAGTCCATGTAAATCAAAATGTATAAACCAAAAGAAAAACAGAGAAGCAGACTGACAGACAGACACATGTACTGACTAGAACCAACAGAACTCAGAATTACATCAAGAGGTCCAGACCTCATAATTCTCTGATCATTGGTTTAAAACTGCTAGTCATATATCCAAGCAAAAAGATCACAGAGGAAATACAACAGGAATCTACAACCTGAGGTGGCACTGTGGTGCTACTGTTTCTGGTTGAAAGGCATGTTTGCCAATCATTTATTACTGTAACAAATATTTGAGATAATCAACTTATCAAGAAGAAAAGTTTGCTTTAGGCTCATAGCTTAGGGGTTTCAGACCATGGTCTATTCACTTCATGGTTTGTGGGCCTGTAGTGACACACCATGCAGGGAGGACCTGGTGGAGCAGAGTGATTCACCTGAAGGTCAGGATGTGAAAGGGAAGAGGAGCACTAAAGTACCACAATTCCCTGCAAGAATGTTCCCAATAACCTAACTTCCTCCCACTAGGCTCCACCCCCTAAAGTCGTCACCAGCTCCCAATAGCATTATGGGCTGGGACCACGCCTTTAATAGGAGCCTTTTGGAGGACATTCCAGATCCAGACTATTGCAAATGGCCAGTACAAAAATTGGGACCAATGAACCTAATTTATTAGAATTAAATAGAAAAATAATAAATTTGAACTACATCTTAGTAGCCACTAGCTGGGTGACCTTTGAGAACATAACCATCTTTCTCTACTTGGTTTTCCTCATCTGTAAAATGTGAATAATTATAGAACCTACTTCAAAGGAGTAAAGTTCAATACATCACTGAGGTAAAGGTACAACAGCACCTAGAATGCACAGAGGCTTCCCATGAGGGTAGCAATTTTCATTTATAATTTCCATATATCTGTAAAAATATATTATCTGTAAAATATTGTTCAGGGGCTGAGAATGTGGCTTAGTGGTAAAGTGTTTGCTTAGCATGCATGAAGCCCTGGGTTCAATTCCTCAGTATCATATGAAAGGAAAAATCCAGAAGTGATACTGTGGCTCAAGTGGTAAAGTGCTTGAGCAAAAGCAGCTCAGGGACAGTGTCCAGGATATGAATTCAAGCCCCAGGACTGGCAAAAAAAATATTGTTCAGAAATATATGCAATAAACCAGGTGCTGGTGCCTCACACTTCTAGCTACTTAGAGGCAGAGATCAGAGGACTGCAATTCAAAGCCAGCCTGGGCAGGAAAATCCATGAGACTTTTAACTCTGATTAACTACTGAAAACTCTGTAAGGGGAGCTGTAGATCAAATAGTAGAGACCAACATTAAGCAAAAAAAAACTCAGGGTCAGCGTCCAGGCCCTGAATTCAAGCCCTAGGAGTGGTGCACACACCCATATTCAAACTTACCACTCATATAGGATTTGATTGACCTGCTCTATAGGCTAAATGAGTTATACATACCTTTAGCATTATCAGTAACCTGTATTATAGACCTCAATATGTTGCTGTATTTTAAGATTTTTTTATCCCTACTTTGATATTTTCTTGTGTACAAACATGCAAATAATTATTCACTGATATTACCCATTTCTTTCTTCTTAGGTCGGATGGGTAATGCTAGTTACTCTGGGCTCATCTCCTATAGAATCTGTAGTTGCTGCTGGTAATATATTTGTTGGACAAGTAAGTTGTAAGATCAAAAAAAAAAAAACACAAGAACAAAATACCTGACAAAATAAGATAGTCTCCTTCCAAAATGCAGGAGAGGAGGGGGGAGGGGTGGGGCAGCGGATCAGGGAGAGGGAAAAGGGAGAAGGGAGAAGAGAAGAGGAGGGGAGAGGAGAGGAAAGGTTTCTAGGGAGAAGTTGAGATATTTCACTAAAGCACAGGGCTTTCCAGGTACAAATTCTCACCATAACTTTTCAGAGTTGATTGAATTACTGGGGTCTCTGGTCAGCTTCTTGGCAGCTAGTAGCTCTTCTACTATGGTGGCCTTTCTTATCTCAAAGGTGCAGCCTCCCCTTCTTTACTGTAATGCCTGTGGCCATGTGAAAACCCATAAAAAAAAAAAACTTCCCAGCAGCAGCCATAGGCTGCAGAAATACTTCACAGTCTCAGCTGTCTGAATTGGCCATCTGCCTCTGCTGACCTGAAAGAAAAACACCTTCAGGTTTTTCTTCTCATCAAAAAATAAACTCTTAAGCTACACTTTTTCCACTTTCATGACCCACCACACGGATCACTATTCTTGGACCTCTAAGCAAAGAAATATGAGGCCTAGAGCAGTCCCTCAAAATAGCAACAGTTCTTTAAAAAAAAAAAAAAAGGTGGATACTTGGGAAAAGGTATCAAGCTACCCATCACTCAGGACGCGCAGCTCCAGAGGGAAAGGGATCTCACACCAATGATGCCCCGTGGGAGGGTGGCCAGTACCACTGTCCAAAGGAACTGGACTTGAAGCAAAACAAGGGTCACCCAGAAACACCCGTGCCACCACATCCCAGGTTTACCATTGTTTGAGGCAGGCTGGGTGACCTTCCTGGGAAGCCTGGCTCACTGGCCCCAGATCTGTCCTGAGTGGGAAGGAGAAGGAGAGCATACTTCCTTCTGTAGGAGATGAAATTGTAACAATTATAATCATAAAATCTCTCAGGACTAATTAGGCTGCCCTCTTGAGTTGATTGGTGGTACCTATAGGTAAGCAGGCTCGCATAGCGGGCTCCAGTTGAGTCTATAAATTGAGGCACAGCCATTCAATCTTACAGAACAATCGAAATAATGAAGATAAAATTATAAAATTGTACCCAGGCTTCTGTGGTGCTCCATTTGATACTTAATATGCTAAAAGTGCTGCTCTTAACTGATGGAGAACCCTACACTGAGGACTGATAAGATTCATGTTCTTACAATTATCTGGTTCCTTCCCACATACCAGAGCGGGAGAGGTCTCTGAGGTCTCTGCCTGCCAATTATAAATGAACCCGTGACTCCTGTTCTTTGTTATTGCTGGTACATTTTGTGTCTATGTGCACGCACACTGGTCTCTATTTCCCCAAGGCCTCAGGAAACAGATTGTAAAGATGAAGCTGGAAGGTGGAAAGACCCGGAGGCCAGGACACTGGACAGTTACTTGGTCAACTTATTTTTTTCACTAACACTCTACCACTCTGAGCCACAGCTCCACTTCCAGTTTTGGGGTGGTTAATTGGAGATAAGAGTCTCAGGGACTTCCCTGCTCAGCTTGCTTCAAACTGTGATCTTTAGATCTCAGCCTCCTGAATAGCTATTATGACAGGCATGAGCCACCAGCAGCTATATCTTGAACAACTCTTAGAAACATGCACCACATCCTCCTACAGTCCAATTCTAGAGAAGGTAGGGGCACTTCATAACTAGCTTCACAAATTGGAAGGTTTACCCATGACTATATGGTCATATTGACCTAAGTTTAAAATGACCCCATTGTTGGAAGTGAAAGTGTAGCTGCAGTGGTAGAGTGCCAACTTGGAACAAAAGAATTAGAAAGCAAAACAAGCAAGATTATGAGACTTTGAGTCCTAGCCCAGCATAGGCACACAAATAAGTAATAGTAAGACAAGTACCAGTGACTCATACCTGTTCTGGGCTATTCTGAGATTGCTTCTCAAATATTGTTTAGAAAATGAAATACTGAGTAGACTGGCATAACCCCCTGAGATTTAATCCTGCCAGGCACCTGTAATCCTAGCTAAGATTAGGAAGCTAAGATTTGAGGATCACAGTTCAAAGCTGGCTTGGGTAGGAAGGTCTGTGATCCTCTTACCTCCAATTAACCACCATAAAGCCAGAAGTGGAGCTGTGGCTCAAGTGGTGGAGCACTAGCCTTGAGCAAAAAAGCTGAGGGACAGCACCCAAGGCCCTAAGTTAAAGTCCCAGGACCAGCACAAAAATTAATTAATAAAGATAGCATTAATCTAGTCACATTAATCACCTTCTTGGTCCCCAGACAGAGTCTCCACTATTGGTCCGACCATATCTACCACACGTGACCAAGTCAGAACTCCATGCCGTCATGACGGCTGGCTTCGCCACAATAGCTGGAAGTGTCTTGGGTGCATATATCTCTTTTGGGGTAAGTCTGTCCTAGAATTACCTTATGCAACATTCATCCTCTTTTTTTTTACTATTATTCTTTCTTTTCTTTGTTTTTGATTTCCCATTGCTGGTAGAAAAGGAAGTCACAAGACACCCCTTTTGCAATATGGCTCACAAAAGTTGCTTCCAGTTGCTTTGACATTTGGATGTAGTGAGCCCAAAGAGTTTGGGGTTCATTTTCATGTTCTTGCCACCAAAGTGTGAATTATATTCAGTCACATCATAGAATGAAATCACCTTGCCAGGCACTGGTAGCTCATGCCTCTAATTCTAGATTCTGGGTGGCTGAGATCTGAGGATCAAGGTTCAAAGCCAGCCCAGGCAAACCAATCTGAGAGACTTTTATCTCTAATTGGCCAGCAAAATACTGGAAGCAGAGGTGTGGATCAAGTAGTAGAGCACCAGCTTTGAGTACAAAAGCCAAGAGAGTATATATCCCTGAGTGTAAGCCCCAATACTGGCACACACACACACAAAAGCAAACAAATAAAAAGATAATAACAGAGAGGCTGAAAACTCTTCTTTGAAAGATCTTACAAGATACAATGGCTTGGTGTTTTTGCCTAAGATTTTTCAATTGACAGATATTCTTCCCATATCCTCTGTCTGTCCTGCCCTATCTCTTCCTTCTCTGTGAGGCTTTTGGACCATTCCCTAAGTCAGGGAAAAAGCCAAGCGTGCTCCTTGTTTTTCTTCTGCAACTACAGGTGTCATCTACCCACTTGTTGACAGCCTCAGTCATGTCAGCACCTGCGTCACTGGCTGTTGCCAAACTCTTTTGGCCTGAGACTGAGAAACCCAAAATAACCCTCAAGAATGCCATGAAAATGGAAAATGGGTAAGTGGGACAGACTAATTAAGAGCCACACCACAAAGTCCAAGGACAGCAAAAGTTCCATAACCGGAAACCACAGTGAATCAAGGTTTTTGAGTAAATTTAATTTCCCAGTAACTACTTAGACATTACCAAAACCATCTTGTTTCAAAGCTGGAGGGAAACCCTGTCTAAATTCGTGAGTATCAATACATTTCTTTAAGTGCTTACGATAAATACTTCATTGTAAATACAGCATAGTTCATCTACACTTAGTTTCAGTAAGACTGATAGAAAATCCTACAATGACCATTTGTGGAAGTGCCTCATAGCATAAGGAAACTGCTTGTTTTCTTTTGCCCTGTGAATGAAAAAAGGAAGTATTTCATTAAATAACAATTCACCCGCTAACATGCGTCTGAGAATCACCCCTTATTTTCTTACAGAAATAGAATCATTAGTCATGACCGGAAATAGCAAGTTGTCATGGATACAAGTAAAGGTTGAGCATCCCGAACTCAGGAAGTCCAAAATGCTCCAAAACAAAAAGACAGTATATATGAAACATAAGCTTATTTCACTTCTAAGATATCTTCTAATACATGTACTCTGAAATCTGAAATCTGAAAGCAGATAAGAGATCTTAAACCTGAATATCCACTTATAAAGTTAGGGACCATTCTGATTTATATAGTGTATTACTTAAGGATACCACCATGTAGGAGAACTATAAAGAAGGGGAATGATAAGCAGAATTTAGGGGAGATAGGTTAAAGTGAAAAGTGAAGCACACAGGGATTAAAAAATGATGTGGCATTCCATTTCTTTTTCTACTTTTCTTCTTCTGATACTGGTGTTTAAACTGAAGGCCTGCACTTGCTAGACTTACTTGCTCAGCTGGCACTCTACACTTATGCCACACCTCAACTTAGCTCAGCTTTTTGCTTGTTATTTTAGAGATGGAATCTCATAGACACTTTCTGCCCCAGCTGGCTTCAAACCATGATCCTCTGGATCTCAGCCTCCTGAATACCTACAATTATAGGAGTGGGCCACCAGCCCCAAGCTGACATTACATTTCTTAAAGGAGGTATTGATAATACAAACTTTTTATACATTGTTCAGAAATTTTATGCCATATTTTATATTCCCTGAAAGCTACCTTTTAAATAAAACTTATTTATGGTTATTATCTGTAAGTAGTTGTACAAAGGGGTTGTCATTTAACAAATCAGTTTATAAATAATGTCACTCTTTGAAATCTACTTTTAATGGATAAAATTTTAAACCTATGCTATTTTTAAATCATTTACCCAAGTTGATTATCAGTTACCCAAATTTTTGGGATAGGGGTATACATTGTGGTTGAATGAGGTGCTTAGTAGGTGTGAGGCCCTAGGTTCAATTTCCAGTACCACCCTCCCCCTAATAAAAGAAAGAAATAGAACAGTTTGATTCCCATCTTCCCATTACATAAATTCAACAATTCTAATCCTGTCATGATTTTCACAAATCAGATGAGCACTTGGACCAAGGTACAAGCCTGAGATTGGCCTCTCCCGCAATGACCTCATGTTCTCCCATTTCTACCCCTGTGGCCTCCACCTACTAACATTTTAGTAATTCTGGAATTGCTACTTTTTGGTAAAGTGACTCCAGGAACCTCCTAGAAGCTGCAACGCAGGGAGCGTCCTCATCCATCCCTCTGGTGGCAAACATCGCTGTCAATCTGATTGCCTTCCTGGCCCTCTTGTCTTTCATGAATTCAGCCCTGTCCTGGTTTGGAAACATGTTTGACTACCCACAGCTGAGTTTTGAGGTATAATTTCTACCATGCTTCTACCCTCTGTTTTGTTCCTGCCCTTCTTTTTTATTGGGGGATAGAGAGGGGGAGTTGGTTGTGGGGGCCTGAACTCTGGGCCTGGGCACTGTCCCTCAGCTCTTCAGCTCAAGGCTACCACTTGAGCCACAGCACTACTTCTGGGTTTTTTGCTTATGTGGTGCTGAGGAATGGAACCTAGGGTCTCATGCATGCAAGGAAAGCACTCTACCACTGAGCCACCTTCCCAGCCCCTAGTTCCTGCATTTCTTTGCTTAAAAATATGTATGTGAGCCAGGCACTGGTGGTTCATGCCTATAATCCTAGCTATTCTGAAGCCTGAGACCGGAAGATCTCAATTCAAAGCCACTCCATGCAGGAAAGCCTATCAGACTCTTACCTCCAATTAAGCACCAAATCGGAAGTGGAGCTGTGGCTCACGTGGTAGAGTGCTAGCCTTGAGCAGAAAAGCTTAGGGACAGTGCCCAGGTCCTGAGTTCACGCCACAGAACTGGCACACAGAAAAAGTACATGAATAAGTTTGTGGAGAGACTTCCCTAACTACCTATGGTGTATTTACTCTCACACATTGTAGAAGTTTCTCTCAGCTTTTCCTTCCCCCAGTCATTCTTTCCCCCCCCCCAAGAATCTTCCCCAAGAATCCAGGTTCCAAGGGATCCAGTTCCAGTCTTAACTACTGACTAAGTCTGTTTTAGGTTGCTATAATAGAATAACTGACTGGGTAATTAGAGAGTGGGGGGGGGGAAGAAAAGAAGGAAGGAAGGAAGGAAGGAAGGAAGGAAGGAAGGAAGGAAGGAAGGAAGGAAGGAAGGGAAAAAAGAAGGAAAGAAATGAGAGAAGGAAGGAAGGAGAGAAAGGAAGCTCAGGTGGCTGCATCTACCTGACTTCTGATGAGAGCGATGTACTATTTCATGCATGGGAGAAAGGCAGAAAAGGCAAATGGGCACAAGTAAGGAGGGGCTATTGGGGGACAAAGGATTTGGCTCACTTTATAACCACCTGTCCTCTTGAGTACTAATATATTCCAGAGGAACAAATATATTCAATCTCATGAGAAAGTCATTCGTCCACCTCCAGGGCCTCACCACCCCTCCACATCATTACAATGGGGACCAAAGCGCAGTGTGAGTTTGGGTGAAGAAAGCATTTTAGCTACTCCTGATAGACAAAGATGAACAGCTGTGCAGGAGGGCATTTCTGTCCCTGAAAGAAGCTAGCGGCGACAGGAACAATCTTTTCCCTGAGGAAGAGAGAGGAGAACTAGAAGCAAATCATTCTTCTAACAGAGCATCCACCTATGGTTTTCACAGCTCATCTGTTCCTACCTCTTCATGCCCTTTTCCTTCGTGATGGGAGTTGACTGGCAAGACAGCTTTATGCTTGCCAAGCTCCTTGGCTATAAGACATTCTTCAATGAATTTGTGGCTTATGAGCACCTCTCCAAATTGATCAATTTGAGGAAAGCAGCCGGACCCAAGTTTGTCGATGGTGTGCAGCAATATATGTCGGTGAGTACACAGTCTGATTTTCCAGTGTGCTTCCTCATCACAGAAGCACCCTCCTCAAGTGGCTACTGCAGCCTCTAGAAGCCAGGCACTGAGGTATATCAAATATGTCAGAACCAAACCATCAGCAAATCCCCACTCTTGTAGAGCTTATAACGTACATAGGACCTTATAATGTTCTGTTACATTGATTTAATGATAATGGGGGGGTTGATAGATATATGCACTGAGAGGAGAGAGACCATACTACTGTGATTATTTACTCTTTTGGGTGTATATGCTGATATTGGGATTTAGACTCAGGGCCTCATGCTCTTGCTTAGATTTTTTACTCAAGGCTAGCACTCTACCACTTGAGCCATACCTCTACTTCTGGCTTTTTCTGATTAATTGGAGATAAAAAATCTCTTGGACTTTTCAGCCTGGTCTGGCTTTGAATCATGATCCTCAGATCTCAGCCTCCTGAGTAGCTAAGATTATAGGTGCAAGCCACCATAGCCCAGCACGATATAATTTAGTTTTAAGAACTACAACCGGGCATCAGTGGCTCACATCTGTAATCAGGCCCAGAGTTCAAGCTCCATTACCGACAAAAAATAAAGAACTACAGACACTAATATGAGCTAAGACTAGTCAATCAACAAATATCTATCAAATCCCTTCTATGCACAATGTGGTAGGTACTGACACCATAGCACTGGACATATCATACAGCTCTCTTTTAGTCAGCTTTCTATTACAATGACAAAATACCTGAGATAGTCAACTGAAAGTGGACCTGGACCTTCCAGGTCAAGGGATTTTAATGAGCTCTGAGAAACTGCCTAAATTTATGTTGTCCTGGCCATCCTCAAAAGATAGCAAGCAAGACATCATTGCTTCTTGTCCAAGAGGCTGAGAGGAAAAGTAAGGCTCAGTTCAATTGCCTGGAAAGAGATACACTGCATCTTCCTGAGTCTGGTGGATGAGGAAATTGGATGAGGCTATATTTGCCACTGAAACTTCTTTCCCCTGAAGAACAGAATGATCCCACCTGGAACCTCCAAGGGAAAGAGCAAACATTCCTCACTGAAAGCCTCCATTGGATGCTAATGTCCTGGGCTTGTACTGGGTTTTGCAAAGAGAGGAGAGGAAAAGCATGCTTCCCAGGCTTTGTGACCTCACGACCCAAGCAGCACCACCATCCCAATGTCCTAAAGATTAAGTATGCAAATACAGTACTCTCTTGCGCATTTCACAAGTTTAACAGCCTAGAGCAGGACAATACTTGCTTTTATTTTGTGGTTGGGGGCATTTTGACCAGCCCATCTCCAAGGAATAAAGTCTCAACAGGTCTCCTTTGTCACATGTTTATTCTTCAGCTAAGCTTATGGTGGAACCTAGCCAATTATCCTCATTATTTGGATGCCACTTAAATCAGTTTCTTTCCCTGCCAAAAATAAACAATAGGCCAAATGAAGTGAAATGTGTTCTATCCCCAACTACCAGTTGCCAGAAGAAAATAGTTTTGTTAATGAGTAAAGCAAGTTGCCAGTTCTGACTGTGCCAAGTGGTTCTGTGAAAAGACCAGCCTTGGGAAAGGTGAAGATGGAATTGAGGATGTGACTCAGTTTGAGGGTGAGCCCAGTGATGGAAACAGGCATCCTTGGAAACACAAACCCAACGCTGTTGTGGAGCCACAATGGAACAGCATTTCAGGACTCCAAATTTCTGATCTCCACTCAACTAAATGGGAGCAGTCCCAGCCATTTCTGATTACCAATGAGTGTTGGAATGTATCCCAACATTGTCCTGGAACATCTTCCACAAGACGAAAACACATGTGTGGGCCCTTGAGGTAAAACTCCATGAAATCCACTGCAATTGTGGTCCATTGCTGACCTGGGCCAGAATGTATACATAGTAACCACATACTGAGAATTTATTACTCCTCTCTCTGTGTGTCTCTCTGCCTCTGTCTCTCTCTTTGTCTCTCTCTCTCCACCCTCCTCTACCAACTGGGGTTTGAACTCAAGAGTTTGCCCTTGTTAGTTCAGTCCATACTGGTTTGGAACTTACGATCTCCCTGCTTCATCCTTTTTGCTTCATTGAGTCCCTGTGTATGCCACCACTGGCTCTTTCTTTCTTTCTTTTTTTTTTATTTGTTGTGAAAAGACTGTACAGAGGGGTTACAATTACATGGGCAAGATAATGAGTACATTTCTTATCCAGCATTGTAGCCTCCTCCTTTGTTTCCCCTTCCCAGCCTTTCCCATCCTCCCCCCCGCCCCCCACCCAATCCTCCCCCCTTACCAAAGTTGTAAAGTTCGTTTTCGACATAATGGCTTGTACATCTCATTGTTGCAATGGGTCCATCTGTATCCCTATTTAAGCGATTTATTTTTCCCCTTCTCCTCCACAAATTATACCGACATCAAATACAGTGAAAGCAGGGGTTATACTGTGGAGGAGGGACATACAAAGCAACAAAGACCACTGGCTCTTTGTTAACACACCTGTGATCCTAGCTACTCAAGAGGCTGAGATCTGAAGATCACAATTTGAAGCCAGTCTGGGAAGAAAGTCCATGAGACTTAGTCACCAAAAAGCCAGAAGTGGAGCTGCAGCTCAAGTGGCAGAGCCTAAGCCTTGAGTGAAAAAAGCCCTGAGTTCAAGCCCCACTAATAGCACACATACACACAAACGATAATACTAAGAGTGTTCATTTTATTTATTTTATTTTATTTTATTTTTGTCAGTCATGGGGCTTGAACTCCTGGCTGGGGCGCTGTCCCTCAGCTCCTCAGCTTAAGGTGAGTACTCTACCACTTGAGCCACAGGGAAACTTCAGGTTTTCTGGTGGTTTATTGGAGATAAGAGTCTCACAGCCTTTCTTGCCTCAGCTGGCTTTGAACCATGATCCTCAGATCTCAGTCTCCTGAGTAGCTAGAATTACAGGCATGAGCCACCAGCATCCAGCTCCATTTGATGATGATGATGTAGTCATACAAAGTTTCAATTCTGTAAATCAGTTTATGAATGCAATGCATCGATTATTACTACTGTTTTTGTTATATGCTTGTACAAATAGATTACAATTCCATAAGTCAGTTTATGAGTATAATGCATCTTAATCAATGTCACCACTTTAATCATTCTTCCTCAGTTTCCCCCTCCCATACCTACCCTAAAGCCACATGGTTCAATTTTTAACATAACATGCATGGAATGTAATGACTGCACTTGCTCACCCTCTTTCCCTGTCATTTTTAATTTACATGTAATATATATTAAGGTATTGAATTCAAGATAATACCAAAAGGTATAGACAGGAAAGTAAGTCATCCTCCCCTTTTCTCTGTCCCCAGCTCTTCCTCCTGGAACACACAGCTCACTCAATAATGTTTCCATATCCTTGTCTGTGACATATCTATCATTCTACTGCATAGCACACCACAAATCCATCTAACTCATCTCTTGCTAATAAACACAGCTAGCAATTTTTTGCTATTAGAAGTGGGACCCCAGTGACCATTCATTCTCCTATAGCATCACTGATTGCCCACAATGAGAGCTGTAGGGTATATTATTTTCCTAATGCAGTGCATCTCTCTCCATTACATAATGCTTCATGTGTGTGGACAAAAGCTAAGTGGAGTCACCATGGCCTCCTTTTCCTCTCCTTATAAAACCACATGTGGCCACATCTGTGCAGCCCCATCCCCATATAGAAAGAGGAAATGAAAGCCCTTTGTGTCATTTCTCTCCCCAGTCTCTTAATAAGCATGGCTGGCTTTGAAGCCAATTGAACTAAATGAAAAGCACTAGAAAGGGTAGAAGATGAAGATGAACTTTTCCAGGAACTGTGGACTGCACAAACACTCAATATTTTTTTTTCCTGCCTGATATCTGCACATAGTTTGAATTCAACATGAGAGTTCTCAGAAACCACAAGGGAGAAGAGGGGCCTTGTCATCAACAAAAACTTTGCCACAAACACTCAATTTTTAAATGTAGGCTTTCAAAACTCCAGATAGCACAAAGGGAGGGGAAAAAAATCACTAACTGTGAAAGTAGCATTTGTTTGGTTTGTATTTTTAACCACATCAGGATTTTTCAGGATGTTGGAAAATTATTGTCCCAATTGTGTGCATACCTTTGCTAGATTAGGTCTGCCTCTGATGCACAATAAAGCTTGCTGAATCTTCAGAGCATTCTATAGTCAGTCCTTCGATCTGAAAGAGTATGGTCCTAAGCAGGACCTGAGATCCTTAGGACCTGAGATTGGTCCTAAGCAGTACCCTTGACTGTTGGGATGAGCCAGAGGGCCAGATGTATGCTCGTACAACCATTTTCCATCTGCCCCCTATTAAAAGGAACATTCTCTCACTTCCAAGTAGGCATCTGACCATTCCCTTGTGTGGTCAGAGCTGAGAAACAGAGGCACATACACACCAGGACCACAGTCTAAAGAATCACCTGTGATGTCTGAGAATTTTCTTTTGATTCATATAATTCTCAGTTTCCCTTATGGCACTACATAGTCAACAGCTTTTTACAGATCCAGTCTCAGGTAACTGATTTTTTTTATACTGTACATTACTGATGGTGTTTTTTCTCTATGACAAAAAAATGAAGTAAACCAGTTATTTGAAGAAATAAGATACTTTAAAAACCAGGTGCCAGTGGTTCATGACTGTAATCTTAGCTACTTAGGAGGCTGAGATCTGAGGATCACGATTCAAAGCTAGTATCTGCTTCTCTGGGCAGAAAAGTCCTCATGAGACTCTTCAATTAACCACCAGAAAACCAAAAGAGGAGCTGTAGTTCAAAGTGGTAGAGAGCTAACCTTGAGCAAAAAGAGCACTTATGCCCTGAGTTTAACCCCACAACTGACCAAAAAGATTTAAAAAGAACTCAGATACTTTAAAAAGGTGATTGCTTAGTCTGGTTGCTTTTGGACTAGTAATGAGGTGGAGCATCATGGTAGAAGCACATGGTGGAGGAAAGCGGCTTACTTCAAGGCAGCCAGGAAGTGAAAGAGAAGGCCCACTCTCACTAAGCCCTATCTTGTAATCCAATAAACTATGGATCCATAAGTAGATTGATATAATCATGAGACCACAAGCCTCAGAATTCAATCTCCTTCTCTGCACTACTACATTGGGGTCAAAGCCTTTGACATGGGAGTTACTGGAAGACATTTAAGATCCAAAATACAGTTATTTTGCTCGCTTTCAAAGTGTGGACTCTGTGTGTGTGTGTGTGTGTGTGTGTGTGTGTGTGTGTGTGTGTGTAATGAGGAGGATGATGATGATGATGATGATGATGATGATGATGATAATGCTGGGGCTTGAACTCAGGGCCTAGCCTCTTGCTTAGCTTTTTCCACCCAAAGCTGGCATTCTACCACTTGAACCATGTCTCCATTTCTGGCTTTTGGCTCATTAATTGGAGATAAGACTCTCTCAGATTTGTCTTCCCAGGCTGATTTCAAACCATTATAATCAGACCTCAGCCCACTGAGTAGGAATACAAGTATGAGTTACTTAGACTCACTTGTAAATATTGCTTTCCTTTTTCTTACAGAGCAGTATTCTATTTTATGCATATATACAGTTTGTTTTCCTATTGAAGGTCATTTGAGTTGTTTTAAGCATGAGGCTATTATAAGTAAAAGCTGCTATAAATATGTATGAACAGTCTTTTTGTGGGCATGTGTTTTTATTTCTCCTAGAAAGGCAGTATGGGCTAATCTGCCATTATGTTTTTATAAACAACTTGTGTCATTTAATGTCCCTACCAACAACATGTAAGAGTCCCTGTTTCTTTACAGCCTTGCCACACTTAATCTTCTCAGTCTTTTTCAATTCTAGCCATTTTAGTAAGTGGATAGTGGTAGCTCAGTGTGTTTTAACTTTCTGTTTCCATGGTAACTAATGATCTTGAGCCTCTTTTCATGTGCTGATTGGCCATTTGCATATCTTTTATAAAATATTCAAATGTTTTCATCTATTCTCCCTGGAGTTTGCTTTTCTTATGGAGTAACAGCAGTTCTTTACATATTCTGGATAAGTTGTCCCAAATAACTGTATTCTTTGGACCAATTTTACATCACCAGCAACTAGCACTATGCCTGGAATATTATATAAGCAGATGTCCAGGTCATAGTGAATAATAGATGGAATCAATGAGTGTGAAATAGTATTTCCAGATGTCAAAAATACTAATTCTAAATCCACACATCCCCATTTCATGTCAAGGGGAGAGAGACAAGAGAGATTCGAGGCAATGCTAGATAATTGATACTACCCACTGTGCCTTTATTTGTCAACATTAATTCTGAAGGCAAAATATGAAGCCAAGTTGGGCCGTCAGATTCCTTTAGCTGGATTAGGTCACATATCCATCAGTATCCTATGCTTCCTTACAGATTCGATCAGAGACGATTGCCACATATGCCCTGTGTGGTTTGCCAATATGGGTTCCCTAGGAATCGTAATCGGTGGACTCAGTAAGTGAAAAGAATATTATTTTGGGGGGGGGGCCGGTCGGGGGGCCTGAACTCTGGGCTTGGGTGCTGTCCCTCAGCTCTTCAGCTCAAGGCTAGCACTCTACCACTTGAGCCACAGCGCCACTTCTGGCTTTTTTCTTTTTGCTTATGTGGTGCTGAGGAATCGAACCCAGGGTCTCTGGCATGCAAGGCAAGTGCTCTACCACTGAGCCACCTTCCCAGCCCCGAAAAGAATATTCTTTACCAACAGATATAATGTAATCTTTTTTGGATCTCCATCTTGGTCTGCAGTGTTATTTGTGTCAAGGAGAATACAGCCCTTCAACAAAGGCCCTCTTCTACAATGTATTTTCCCAGTGTACACCAAAATTACCTCAGGAAGAATATACTCTCCTAACCCAAGGGTGGCAAATGGATTTTGCTTGTGTGCCAATGTCAATAGATTTATATTGAGGGCCAATGGAAATCCAGTGGGAAACTGCTATGATTTATCTCAATGTCTGCTGTGGTGAGAACCGTGCTGGGGATTATCTTGCTGGCTGGTCCCTTCTTACAATGCATTTGCTCTGTCATATCTTCCCTGCTCTGTGAGGCCTTTGGAAGAAGCTTAGGGATTATTTCTTTTATTAATTTATTTGTTTATAGTTTAAATTATTATTATAAAGATGATGTAAAGAGGCAGGCTTATTTCTTGTCCACTGACACGAGACTCCAGCCCTAAGACAATTTGCAAAGGCCACAAATTTAATTTCCAATCAATAGCCTCAACATGAATTTCACCTACTCTTTCTGTAATTCCCAGCATCCATAGCACCTTGCAGGAAACGTGACATCGCTTCAGGAGCAGTGAGAGCCCTGATCGCAGGAACCATCGCCTGCTTCATGACAGCCTGCATTGCAGGTACAGGGTCCTGCCCTGGGTATCCTGGGTAGCTTTCAGGGAGGTAGGATGGCAAGCCCACAGCTGCTCGAGTGTTGGAGCTACTGATAAGCATGCTGTAAAGGGGAAGGTGTAGAGAAAGTGGGTAGAGAAGCTAAGAATAAGAGGAAGTGGAGCAGTAGTCCCAAGTGGTAGAGTGCTAGCCTTGAGCAAAAGAGCTCAAGGACAGCACCCAGGCCCTGAGTTCAAGCCCCACAACTGATAAAAAGAAAACAAAAACAGCTACAAAGCTAAGAATAAGAGAGTTCAGAAATTTGGCCAATCATGAACATCACTGGTATTCTGTTCATCTCCAGGCATGCTCTCTGACACCCCTGTGGACATCAACTGTCACCACATTCTAGAAAGTACCTTCAACTCCAGTTTCCCTAGCAACATGACCGATGTAGTATCTTGTTGCCAAAGTTTATTACACAGGTATTCACGGTAAAAAAAAATTTCATTATGACCCCTTAGTAATAATCAAATCTGACCTAAAGATCCCATCTACTTATTTTTTGTAACTCTATTAATTGTTTGTATATGTATGTGGGTTTTTTTGTTTGTTTGTTTAGGCATCCTAGAGTTTAAAGCACCAGGGCCTCATGCTTGTTAGGCAGTCACTTTTCTACTTAAACCACACTTCCAACCTTGTTTGCTTTAAGGCTATTTTCCAGATAGGATCTCTGTTTTACCCAAGGACCAAGATCCTCCTAACCACACCTTCCACACCTGTGTTCACAATAGCCACCACCACACTCAACTTACTGATTCAGATGGAGTCTCCATAATTCAATGCCCAGATCCTCCATAACTTTTGCCTCTCAAGTAGCTTGAATCATAGGCAGAAGCCATCACACCCAATCTTCCTTACACAGCAATTCTAACAACCTTTCATTTTTACTTTTCCCTAATAAAACCAGGAACTAAAATATTCAGCAGTACTACTCATGTGCTCAAGTATTGATTTAGCAGTGCATTAGGCACATGAATTATTTCACATAAAGTTTACAGTCACACCAGGTACTGATGGCTCCAAGCCTGTAATCCCAGCTACTCAGGAGGCTGAGATCTGAGGACTGAGGTTCGAAGCCAGCCTGGGAAGGAAAGTCCATGAGTCTCTTATCTCCAATTAATTACAGAAAAGGCTGGAAGTGGCACTGTGGTTCAAGTGGTAGAGTGCTAGCCTTGAACAAAACGAGCTCAGGGTCATTGCCCAGGCCCAGAGTTCAAGCCCCAGCAATAGAAAAAAAAAATTTCAGTCACTGTGTAAGTTAGGCTTTTTGTTTTGATTTGGTTTAGTTTGGTTTGGTTTGGCTTGTCTTTGTTTTCGCCTTTGATATAATGGTACCTAGAAAGGCTATGTACACTAAAGCAAAATTAGTCCCAAAACAGTCAAGATACGAAATCCTGCCCACAAAAGCAATATTCTTATTACTACCTTCCACTGCCTCTCTTTCCATTGGCCAAGGCTGTCCCAACAATGTGGCACCACTTAATGACCCTGCCAGTCACCTCCACCCTCTACAATTTCTTGTCATAAAAACAGTATCTTCATCCTAGTGGTTTTCTTAAATGTTAAAGTGTTTTATAGGGGTTGAACTTATCCTTCTTGGTTTATTCCTGGGGAAATAAGAAGAGCTCTTGAGGCCACCCAAATGAATTACCAGAATCACTTCTGTGGGGCCCCTGTTTGTAACCTACTCTATCTAGAGTATGATAGCCAGAATATGAAGGAAGAAGTCAATTTCTTGCTCTTGGCTGTGGGGAGGGGGGAAGAAAGGGTACTGGGGCTTGCCCTCGGGGCCTGGGTACTATCACTTAGTTTTTTTTTTTTTTGTTCAAGGCTAACATTCTACCATTTGAACCACAGCTCCACTTCCATCTCTTTGATGGTTAATTGGAGCTAAATGTCTCACAGACATTCTTGCCGAGGCTGGCTTGGAACCATGATCTTCGGATCTCAGCCTCCGGAGTGGCTAGGATTACAGGTGTGATCCACTGATGCCCAGCCTCTGTGCTGTTTTTTGTTTGTTTTTTGTTTTTAACCAGTCCCGAGGCTTGAACTCAGGGCCTGAGCATTGTCCCTTAGCTTCTTTTTGCTCAAGGCTAGCACTCTACCTCTTGAGCCACAGCACCACTTTAGGCTTTTTCTGTTTATGTGGTACTGAGAAATAAAGTCCAGGGCTTTATGCATGTTAGGCAAACCTTCTACCACTAAGCCACAGTCCAAGCCTTGGGCTGTTTTTAGTGCAACTTTTACTCAGCTACTGTATCTGCCATTCAAGAGTCAACTAACTATTCCATTCCATTCCCACCAGCACTATTGCCAAGGGACCCGGGGAGATCATCCCAGGAGGAAACCACAGTCTGTCGTCTTTGAAGGGCTGCTGCACATTGGTGAATCCATCAACACTTAACTGCAGTTGGATTCCCAACACATTTTGAAATCAACTATTTCTCCAGGGGAACTCTGGGTGCATATTCTGCTTAGGAAGAGACAACAACCACCGGAAAAAAAAAGCAACTGTACACAGACTAATAGCCATCCTTGTTGAACCAGCTTGAGTCATAAGGAAAGAAGAAAAACAAGACTACGCCTTTCAGAACTGCCATTGCTATTGCAGCCTCTTCCCTTTTGTGACATTCCACCATTTCTCCATTGAGAACTCTGAAGAATCTTATACCAAAGTGCCAACTCCATGCCCCACAGTGTTTTCTGACCTTAGATTTCTTTCCAGGCATCTAGCTAGAATACAGGTACTAGGCTGTAAATCAACCAGAGACTCTTAGGGTGCTGAATGAGTCTAAATCATTCCAATGACTGTTTCTGTTTGTCTTTATTTTTTTTTGCCTGTTTTTGTTTTGAAACAGTCTTACTATGTAGCCCAGACTAACCTTGAACTTGAGATCTTCCTGCCTCAGTCTGCAGAGTGGCTGGAATTAAAGACATACACCATCATGCCCAGCCAGAATAACTTGTTTTCAACATACTTCAGGTGGGGTCACTGCTAGGGTGCTAAACTTGGATGATCTAGCTTACCTGAGATATCCTGTACTTGAATTTTACATGAAGGAAAGCTAATCAGCAATTAGTGACTACCCTCCAGAAGTCCTACATAAATTGAGTCCTTCAGCAAAAGCTTATAGACCCAAATCAGGTTTCAAGTCCCTTAAGTTTTGAGAAGTCTTTTAGTCAGCTTGAGCTATGTTATGCTACATAACAAGCAACCCCCCAAACCTTAGCAGTTTATAAATTTCTCTTTCATTCATATTACATGTTTGTAATGGCCAATTTTGTTGATTTCATTTTCCAGAAACCAGGCTAAAGGAGCTTTCACCAAGTGGGGCATGCAAGTCTTAGAGAGCAAGAGAGACAGAAAGAGAGAGAGAGAGAGAGACAGATAGACAGAAAGAGACAGAGAGAAAGAGAGAGAGAGAGAAAAAAAGAGAGAGGTCAGTGACCACAGATGGATTCTTCTTCATATGAAGGAGTAGTGAAGATCTCATAAAAATAATTTGGTATGCTACAAAGGTGCATAATATCCACATCTGCAGTAAGGAGTCCAGTAATGGATAATTGCAGACCTATTCATATGCAATAATCCTGGTGACAAGACTGGAAAAATGACTTTTCATCCAAGAAGCCATGGACTAGCAAGGCACTGTGGTCCTCACCTGTAATCCTAGCTACTCCGGAGGCTGAGATCTGAGGATCACAGTTGGAAGCCAGCCCGGGCAGGAAAGTCCTTGAGACTGTCTCCAGTTACCCACCAAAAAGCCAGACAGGGAGTTGTGGCTCAAGTCCTCGGGCAAAGCAGCTCAAGGACAGCACCCTGAACTCAGTTTGAACTCAGATCCTGGGACACACACACACAGAGCCATGGAAGGGCCAAGTGAGGGAGAAAAATATGTCCTGATTGAGTTCATTGATTCTTCTATCGACCTGGAAGGCATCAGTATCAAACTTGCTTACTGGATGTCAATATCTCTGAAGAAAATGCCAGAAATTTTGATGGAGTGCTTGGTGGAGAACTCAATCTTTAATGCAGTCCTTATTGTCATTGCTCTTAGCAGAGAGACCACAAAGTGTGAAGAAAACCTCAATGCCTCTGAGTCAGAAAGTGGTTCCTTTTGTTTCCCTATTTTTTTTTTTTGGTCAAGAACAGGACTCAAACTCGGCACCTGACATTCTACTCATTGACTAGCACTCTACCAACTGAGCCATGCTTCCTAAGGAAGAGACTCAATGTGAAATCGGTTCTTCCAAATCTTAATTTATTTTGTTTATATTTGCTCTTCTGTTCATGCACAAATCACTTTTCAAAGAAAAAAAACTAGGTGTCAAAAGTTGTCTTTCATTTTGTTTCATTTGTTTTTTGTTGGCTGTCTAGTTGGTTGGTTGGGGTTTGGTGATGAAGGAAGGTTAAAACACAAATGACTCCTTATCTCTGAAGTAAGCATACTATTTCTTGCTTTCAGACTTGGCATTGTGGCATGTTTCTCTTAATCCCAGCTATTCAGATGGCAGAGGATGGAGGGTCACAAGTTCGAGGTTAGCTCAGGCAAAGTTAATGGATCTTATCTCCAAAACAAAATGCAAAACAAAAGGGCTCAGTAGCACATGCCTAGCAGGCACAAGGCTTGGGTTCAATCTCAGTATTACATAAAGAAAAACAAAATTCTAGGGATTTTATTATTTATGTCAGTGTTCCTTGGAATTCAGTATGCCCTTTCAGTCTTTAGTATATTTGCCTTTTCCTTACAAACTTTGTTACAAACCATTGATAGCATGTCAAGAGTACCAATTATTTATATGTTGCTTCTCCTTTGTTCTCACAAGCTATTTTTCTCTCTAATCCTTTCCAATTGTTTGAATGTTTCTATTCGTGTGTGTGTGTGTGTGTGTGTGTGTGTGTGTGTGTGTGTGTGCCAGTCTTGGGGCTTGAACTCAGGGCCTGTGCACTGTCCCTGAGCTTTTTTGTTCAAGGCTAGCATTTTACTATTTGAACCACAGCTCTATATTTGGCTTTTTGGTAGTTAATTGGAGATAAGAGTCTCACAGACTTTCCTGCCTGGGCTAACTTCAAATTGTGACCCTCAAAACTCAACCTACTGAATAGCTAAGATTACAGGCATGAGCCACCTGGGGCTGACAACTAATTCCTAACTTCTGCTTTTTGTCACATATATGCCTTGAATCCTTGTCACTCTTCTCAACTTATTTGCTTTTTTTAAGGAAAACAATTGCTACCCTATAATTATTAAGTTTTCCTTTTCAGACAATAAAAAAGGAATAGTTATTTGTAAATTTTAAAAATTTAACATTATTTTAAAATAAAACAGAAAAATGCAAAAATACACGTGCAAAAAAGACTAAACATCTTTCTCCCTGCCATGGCTTTCCCACACCTGATTGTCACTTCTAGGTGACTAGCACACACTCCTTTCTCCTTGCTCATGCAAAACATATAAGAATGTGGGGACTTTGTTACTGGAACACAGAAAGAAAATGTTTATTTGCATATTACCTTCAGCGTCCTTCTTTTTGGCTATAACAACGCTTTATGCATTCCTCCAAATCATTATTTTAGTTGTAACATTAGCTTTCTCTTCTCCCTTCCACACTAACTCCATGTGAATGCACACATGTGTGTATAATCCTACATAAAGGAGATGACATGCACACTGGACAGAGAGGGAGTCAGGTGTTTGCCATAGCCTGGATCTTGAACCTTCCCAAAAGGCAGACTTGAAGGCTCAGCTGCCAGACTGTGGTGCTGCTGTAGAAGGTAGCACTTACACAAAGAAGTCACTGAGGGTGTGGCCTCAAAGGGGATGGATGATAGGACCCCAGCCCCTCCTCTTCCTCTCCACTTCCTAGCCACCATGAAGTGATCAGGACTTCTTCACTACACACTGTGCCACCACAGGCCCAAAGTGGCAGCAGTAAGGGACCACAGACTGAAATCTCTGAAATTATGAGAAAAATAACAAAAATAAATTTTTGCTTTGTTTTTGTTATTAAAAGTTTCCCCTGTATGTGTATGTGTCATTGTCAGTCCTGGGACTTGAACTGAGAGCCTGAGCCCTGTCCCCTTGAGGTTTTTCACTCAAGGCTGGGGCTCTACTACTTGATCCACAGCTGCACTTTCAACTTTTTGGAGGTTAATTGGAGATAAAAGTCTTAGACACTTTTCTGCCAGGGCTGGCTTTGAACTGCCATTTTCAGATCTCAGCCCCCTTAGTAGGTAGGATTACAATTGTGAGCTACCAGGGTTTATTTTCCTAGGTATTTTTTTAACAAAAAGCAGACTGACAAAGCATTTTATGTTCTTTCTACTTTCTTTCCTCTTCTTCATGGTCCCTGATTCCACACATGGGCATTCCAGGTTAAATAACCTGGAATGTATTCCTTCAATTTCAGACTGCTTTTCGGATGTGTTCTTTTGAGGACTAAGATGGTAGTTTTACAGAAGTGATATTACCGACCTTTCTAGACAAGCTCGTGTTTCTCCTATATAATCTTTATGTAGATTTCAATCCTACAAGGAAAACTTCATTCTAGCCTGTGACATATGTGTCTTTATTAAACAAATTGTTCCTATAGAGGAACATACATTCACTTTGCTTCCAGGTTTTAATTCTGGGGCTTATTAATTTGCGAGGCAGGTGTGGGGGGGAAAGTGGTATTTTCTTGTACTTGTCCAATGAGTACACATTTTCCTTATAAGCTATTATTTTTATTTTCTTTTTCTTTAGAACTTCTGAAAGTTATCTTTAAGTAGTTGTATAAAGGAGTTGCCATTCAACAGAGCAGTTTATGAATGCAATGTATCTTGAAGTATTTTTTTTTAATTTTCTCTAGCCATGACATCTGAAAAAATGGTGCAAATTACATAGAATTTACAATGGCCTGGTAGCCACATATTAAAAAGCAAGAGCAAAAGGAAAGGATGAGATTCGTTTCATAATACATTTAACCCGATATACTGAAGGGTAGCACATCACAGGGGACATTTTACACTCTTCAAAGTCTGGTATGCACATTTCAACCAAGACATGACATTTTTAGTGACAAAGTAAGTTCACCTATCCATGTCATTGTAAACATGCTTAAGTTGTCCAATAATTAAAACAAGTAACTTTCTTTATTAAAACTAAAATTTCAGTTACTCAGTTTCTCCATCTGTCAAGGGTATTAGTGTCTTCCATCTTGGATAGAGTTTGCATCCCTAGTGAGGTGTGTGTATACTTTTTGTTATTAATATGTGATACCAAACTGGTGTTCAAAAAATGTTGTCTTAATTTTTACCTGTTTTTGTAAGATTTCTGATTCATTGTATTCATCTATCTCTATATGTGTCTAAGATGTCTTTTTTTAAAAAACAGTATCCCACGATGTAATCCACGCTGGCTTCAAATTCATGATTCTCCTGCCTTCACTT